TCTGTCCCATAATTACAAATGTGAAGAAGCAAAGAGAAACTATTAGAAATATTGCCTCCTGGGGAGATTCCCACCCAGGATAGTACTGTTACACAAATGACCATTACCACATTAAGAGGAGGGAGCGTTAGCATGTCTTTATATGCTCTGTAAATTGATGACCTACATTTCTCTTTATCTAGCAATCCATCTAGCTTTCTCTATATATGATTTGCCTTCTCAGCCTCGACCTTCTTTTATACTTCATTTATTTCTTTTCTCAGTTCTAAAAGAAATTTTGAAAGTCATTTTTGTTTCATAAATGAGGTCAGTGACTACTAATTTTTAACTTCCTAGAAAAAGGTTCTAGAACTAGGACCGTCACTAATGCAGCCAATGGACCACACACAGATGTAGCTGCTGATGAAGAAGAGATTCTGGTAGAACCCTGCCCTTGACAGCAGTGTACTGATGATGAACCTGGAAACTCACTGTTCTGTACAGCAGCGAGGAGCCTATGTACCCTCTCCCACCTCCCATACATCATGAAGCATGCATCCAGAGTGGCACTGTAGTTTTTAAAGCCAAAATAAGGGCTGCAGCCCCTTGAGCACGAAGCTGCTGCTTGATGTCTCCCACTGTGAGAGCACCTTTCTGACGGGTTCTCAGGCTCAAGTCTGAGGTCAAAGCAGAATTAGGATAGGAACCTGCTCCACACTGACAGCTGCTGCTAATGCACTGACTTCAGCCCCATGGCTTTTGGAGAATGTTTAATTAGTTTTCTTACTACCAATAGTTATCTCTGAGAAAGCTTAATCATGTATTTCGATTGTTTTTTTTTTGAAGAGATGATGGTTTTTCCCCAAATCAGATGAAATTTTTGTCCCTGGCCTGGATTTAGATGCTTACCTAATACAAATTTGTCTGATTGTAAATGTTACTATTCAGTTTTCTCTTTGTAATTATCCCAGAGTAGGTTATTTGCTTTTCAAAACTAGGCAGGTCTCATAGAGGCCCAGAGAAACCACCCACGGGAAGTAAGGAACTCTGCGGATGGTGTGGGACCCTTCTCTGTGTCCTGGATTCTGCTGTAGGAAGTTGGGGAGTTTGACTGGGGAGACCAGGGACACAGCTGCTGGTGTACTTTCTGTGTTGGGTGTTTTGCCATGTTGGGATGAGGTTCCAGCCCATTTGGAACAGAGTATTCACTTAGAAGTACACATCTACCAGTACACGAAAACTACTTCATGTCACTGTCTTGCCAAATAGAGTGTGCTGAAACTTCCATTCCCAGTGGAAATGTTTGTTCCTGTTCCATTCCTATGGTATGCAGCTCATTGATGATGAGCTTGATTTTGGAAGGCTGGGGTTTGAATAAAATTGTTTGTATCTGTTTGTGATCATAGAAACCACGGAGAATATTTTATGGGAAGTTTTGAAAGAGGGCATTTTTGGTTTACAATATGGTCTTGGTACTACATAAAATTTACTTGGGGAAGGAGGGTTGGGAACATCTCAGAGGAATGGGAAGTTAATACAGGTGATAAAATAGGTTCCATGAGGTCTGTATTACTATCAAAGGTGCAATATGTGTGTCAAGGTCCTGTCAGCTTTCAGCTGCAAGTAACAGAAAACCCACTCTTAGGGTCTTAAATAATAAGGAACTTTTGTTTAAGTAACGAACTTAACAAGGCCTCTAGAGGTAGACAGTTGTCATTCAGTTGTGATAAGAGCTATACATTGTCCTTTTTGTGATTCTCTCCTCCAGACCATCCCTTCTCTCCATCTAGGTTTGTGCTTGGATCTGATCCTTTTATGGTAACGGTGTCATGTGTCACATGCAGAATTGACCATTTACAGATACGGAAAAGGGCATTGCTTTCTCTTGTGTCTTATGAGACATGAGAGTCAAAAGACTTCCTAGAGTTCCCCTGCAGATACTCCTCCATGTGCCATTGGCCAGAATGTCTTCACATGCTGAACTATAAAGCAGCATTGCCTGGGAGAAACTACCATGACTGATTCAGTCTTTTTAGGAACTGCTAGGGCTTGAGCCAGGCAAACCTGGGTTCCAACCTGGCTGAACTACTGAGTAAGGTACTTCAGTTAAATGACTTAACTTCTCTGAGACTGCTGGGCCCCGCTGTAAAATAGAGCTGATAAATGTTGCTTTTCAAAGGTATTACTAATATTTCTTAAGTTTCTACAGTGCAACAAGCACTGTGCTATGTGATATAAATAGATTTAATCCTCAGAACAATCTGGGAAGTAAGGGGATATGGTATGGTTAGATCCCATGGGGGTTCATTTTCCACAGACTGTTCAAGCAGCACATAGAGTTGGTAGTCTTCAGGTGGAAGGGAGTTGAGATGGCCCAGAGGCGAGGTCACAGATTATTGTCATAGTCAAGATGTGACATTTTGATGAGTTAACTTTATGTAGTGGCATTGGAATGTAAAGCAAAGAATGGCTTCATGAAATATTTAAAAAATAGTAAGCAATGGAATCGGTGTTTAAAATGAAGCATTGGGATGAAAAAGGGTTTTTAGATTTCCACTGTAAGAACCTTGAATAAGCAAAATTTGGTTTTGAAATTGTGTTAGAGCTTTTTCAATTAGTCCCTAACACAAATAAGCTTTTAGTTTTTAGGAATATTTCTCAACACTCTCACTCTCAGCGTAAGATGGGGCTTACAGTGTGTACTTTATAGGGTTGTTTTAAGAACTTACTGAGTTAATATTAAGAATACCGTCTCGTGATAGTAGTACTGGGCACAAAAGTGCTCAGCAAGTGTTAGCTATTTTTTCTTTAATTTGCACAGAATTACTTGCTTTTTCTCTTTATTCTCTCACACCTTTTTAGAACCATACAGATAATCTCTCCCTCTGTAGTCTCGAAAATTTTGAAGTCACTTATTTTAACACTTACCGAGGTTTCACATTTATTCAGATACGCATGGAGGTGAGGGAGGAAAGACTGGAGCTGCACCTGCACCTGAGCCGAACCCTTGACGTGGAAGCAGCTGTTACACTCTGGAGAAAACAGGGGAGGCCACAGTTGAGGAGAATGTAAATTTTAGAAGGATGCCACAATGGAAATGTAAGCTGTAGTGAAAATACAGCATTCTTGTCAAATATTAGAGGAATAGCCCACTTCGTTAAATCTTCTGAAATAAAACCTCTTTTTAACTGTAAATACTATAGGATATAGTATAACAGCTACCTGAATATCCATTACCTACAATGAACAAATGCTGACATTAGTGAGGGGTAGTGTTAATTTTACTAAAGACTTCTTTTTATCACAGGAACATATCAATAGGTTAAAAATTGAAGTCCCCTTTTGTGTAGTTGACTGAAGACAACTGAACCCCCCCCCACCACCACCACCACCACAGAATTCTAATGGCTGACCTACGTCTTATTTCTGTAACACTGCCATGTGACTGTTTTTCTGGTTGGTGGCTGGCATTCCATGTGGCAATATAGAGACCCAAATTTTATAGTTAATAGACTTATTGTAGTGATCACATTGTAAGGTACATAAATGTAGAATTACTGTGTTGCACACCTGAAACTAGACTCCCTTCATTTTGTGGTTACACCATCTTCAGTAAGCACATGGTTTTTGAGGTCACACGCTCCTGTGTATGAAGCTGATAGAAAAGAAGAGAGTCTGTGAAAGGCACTCTCACTGCTTAAATTTCTTGGTCTTCTTCATGCGACTGGCATCATTTCTGCTCATATTCCGTTGGTGAGAAAAGTTACGTGGCCCCCCACCTTGATCAGGATATAAGGTTGCTGGGAAATACAGTCCGAGGACTAGAAGGAACGTCTGTGAAGAGGGTGTGCAAAGTTGTGGTGAAGAGCCAGTTTTCTCTAGTATAGTTACTTTATTAAAACTCCCTGCACCATTCACCTTTCCTTCCAGAGGCATCTACTATCTTGAACATGTAGCATATAGTTCACCTTTTTATATTTTTATGATGTGTGCATAGCCATAAAAATATATATTATTTTGTGTCTATTTAAAATTTGAAACAATTTAAAATGTTATCTTTAAATGTTTTACTTTGTGTCATTTTATAACATTTTGACTCAACATTGTGTTTTTACATCTGTTCCAGAATCTACATTGAGGTCTAGCCCATTCACCTTAACTGATATATAGATTTCATTTATGAATACAGCTCCATTATTATTTTTACTTTTCCCTCTTGATGAAAATTTAGGCGGTTTCTGGTTTTTGACTATTATGAACATTAGACACGTTCTTATTCATGTCTCTAGGGACAAATGCATTTGTTGCCTTATGTTAACAGGAAGCTTAACTTTGGGGTTGAGACTACATACACGGTTTCTATTTTTTTTTTTTTTTGATACTGCCAAATTGCTCTCTAACATTGTATTATTTTACAGTCAGAATTTATGGTGCTCCTATTTTCTCACATATTCATCAAACATTAGGGGGGGTTAGACTTATTTTAACAGTGTAATGGATGAGATATTTTGATTTGCGTTTTCCTAATTACTATAAAGTGATGTTAAACATCTTTTTCATATGTCTACTGGCTGGTTAGTTTTCAGTTCCCATGAATTGACTGTTCATATTTTTCATCCATTTTTCTATTTAATTATTTATGTTTTTCTTACTGATTTATAATTCTATATGTATTTTGGATATTAATTTTCTTACATCTCTTACAAATTAACTCTTTTCAAACTGTGTCATGCTTTACCTTTTAATGGTGATTTTTGTCATGCAAAGATTTTACATTTTGATATAGTCAACTGTGCCTATCTTTTCCTTTATGAGTTGCTCTTGTATTTTTAAATCACAGTCCTCAGATCCTTTGACCTTCCTCCCATCAATGGGGTCTGTATCCCCCCTCTGAATCTGGGCTGTATGATCCCTTGAACAATAGACTGTAGCAGAGGTGACATTGTACCATGTTGGGGGCCCAGGCTTTAAGAAACTGGCAGCTTCCACTTCCTGTCTCTTGGGTTGTTTTTCTAATGCAGCCACCATCCTGTGAGGAAGGAAGCACAAGCCTGCAGAAGGGACGTGGATCACGGCCATCAGCCAGTGCTGACTTGCCGTCCTTGCGGGTGAGCCATTTCATTTCAGAAGTGGATCCTCCAGTCCTCAGTCCAGCGCCTGGGGCAGTGGGAACGGTAGTGGGCTCTCTCTGCTGGGTGGTGTCCGATTTGTAGATACTTGAGCAAAATCAGTGGTTTTTGTTGTTTGAAGCCACCACTGAAATTTAGAGTACTTTTGTTGCACAGCTGGAATAGCGGTGCTGTGTGTGTCTTATCTGGGAAAGCCTTTCCTACCCTGAGGTCAAAAGATACTTTCCCTCTTTTTGTATAATACATTCAAAGCTTGATTTTTCACACTTAGTTTCTGTGATATATCTGCAAATTATTTTTTAATTGTGATAAAACACATATAACACAAAGTTGACCATTTTAACCATCTTAATAAGGTGTAAAATGTAGTGGCATTTAGTACATTCTTAATGTTATACAACCTCACTACCATCTAGTCCCAGAACATTGTCATGAGCCCAGAAGAAGACCCTGCACCCATTATACAGCTTATATGGCTTGATACGGAGATCTTACTTTTTTCCTAGGTGTAAAGCCAGTTTTCCCAGTGCAATTTATTGAAGAACCTTTCTTTTTTTCCTCCCACAAATTAAATTTAACATGCTTTCTCCATCACCTTCCAGGTTCCCTATATATACTTAGGTTTGTCACAGGGATATATATCTTCTCAGTCCTCTCACCCAGGGATTTTAGAAAAATAACTTTATATTTATAAATACATTGACTTTCAACATTCTTACGGTTTTCTACGTGTGTATATTTTTCTCTGTGAAACTGTAACAGATTTTTGAAAGGCCCTCCATGTGACGAGGATGCCAGGACTTTCCACAATTACATACTGGCCTCATTAAAACTGACGATGTTTTACGAGTTTTGTTGTAAAGTCATACGTTCCTGTGCAGATCGGTCTAACTATATTATAAATGCCTCTTGATAGTAACTCATAATGCTTTGAAAATTTGCATTTGAAAAGATCGTGGCTTTAAATGGGATTATTCTTAAGTATACATATCTATCTTACTGTTGTGCCACACTGACTGGAGCCAGTGTGTCCATGCAGTACCCCAGACTCCTTTTGGTAGGTGATATAGCCTCCAAAGACATTTGAAGTCAAGTAAGGACTACCTAGTTTTTTACAACCTATTATCAACTTGTAATAGTAGTAAATCTCAGACCCAATTCTGCCCACGAAGACACACACATACAGAGATTTAACCAAATATTCACACGCAGGCACAGAGCAGTTCTTGAAACTTGAAGAAACCCCATCTCTCAGTCCTTAGAGAGGCTCTGACCAACACCTTGCAGAAAACAAAACGGCAAACAGACCCCTCCCGCTTTCAAGCTGGCTAGAGGAGCATTAAATTGACAGGAGGGAGTCATCCTTGAGGGAAAAGTGTCCGTGCCCACTGAGTTCCTCCTTGGCTCTGGTCATGAAATCATGGGCCAGATCATTAACATACTGTTTAGTCAGTCAACCTATATTTCTAAATGCTTTTTATTTCACAAATGGGACCCCACTAATACTCATCATGCTAGTTATAGCTCAATAAAACTTTTCTAACATTCAGTATGGTGATTAGCAAAAAGGTCATTTGTCCACGAAATACAGATAATAGAGGCTTTTTTAGTAGCCAGCTCTAAAATAAGGGTTTTTATTATGACTACAGTTGACCACCCCCCAAATTTATGTATTGTAAATACTTCAAAGTACATTTCAGACATCATGATCAAGAATAGTCAATATTGCCCTGGCCGGGTGGCTCAGTTAGTAGGAGCATTGTTCTGTGCACCAAGAGGTTTCGGGTTTGATCCCTGGTTAGGGCACACGGTCCCTGATGGGGACATTTACAGGAAGCAATCGGTGGATCTTCTCCCTCTTTCTCTCTCACTCTCTTCCCCCTTCCCTCCTTTCCTCTCTCTCTAAAATTAATTTAAAAACAAAAAAATACATCTCCTCGGGTGAGGATTAAAAACAAAAAGAATAGTGAATATTTTTAATAAAGCAAAAATGTCTCCTAAAAGTAATATAAATATCAGTTCTGCTACCTAGACTTTTAAAAAAAATCCTCACCCAAAGATACGTTTATTGGTTTTAGAGAGTGGAAGAGAGCAGAGAGGAAGGTGGGGGGGGGGGAGAGACAGACAGACAGACACATTAATCGGCTACCTCCTGTCTGTGCCCTGACCTAGGATTGAACCTGAAACTTTTTGGTATGATTATGCCCCAACCAACTGAGCCATTGGGGTCAGGGCAAAACAGCTGTGTCTTATAGGTGTTTCTGTATTTTGCTGTGTATAATGCATACTTTTTTACCCAAATTTTTTAGGGAAAATTAGGGTACACATTATATATGGGCATAATGATTACCATGGGTATAATCCATGTGTGTGTTGCACACCAAAACATGGATACACGTTATACATGGCAAAATACGGTTGTTCCTACCAAATTGTCCCCTCAAATTCAGTTGTGTCCAATATGATTCTCAGATTATTTTGAAGCTTTGTAACAATGCTAATGTTAGAAAATCAGTTGTTTGTAACTTTTAAAGTTTTGGACACAATATTGAGAACTCTTTATTGCTTAGTTTATTAAAATTAAAGTAGAAATCAGGAATGTTTATATAATTGTAAGGTTTTGCTTCTGTGCATAGAATGCTGAGAAATCTAAAATTAAAATGATCAAACAATGTAATATCCCATAAAATGATTTGATATTGGAATGTGGTACAGTAGAAACTAGTGTGTTTCTGTTGTGTTACAGTAGAAATTAGTTACAGTAGAAGTTGTGTTTGTTTTTCCTTTGTTTCTTGTCTCTGTTGTCACCTAGCACACTCAACAGCAGTGTGACAGGCAAGCAGCTGCCTTCACCAGCACTGCCAACACCAGAGATTTTTCTAGGCCTGTTGCACACTCCTTTCATCCGTCAGGACAGGCAAGGCAGCTGTCTTTCTGTCCTGGTGCAGCGTTGGCATGGTTTGCTGAGGCAGCTGCTAGCCTGACTTCACAGCTGGGGAAATAGCACTTGGTGTTAACAACAAAATTTAACACAAATATGAACAAGATAATTGGGGGGCATCTTTTCATCTAAGATCTTACCTAGATTTAATGAAACCAGGGCTATTGATTCCTCCTAAAAATTATCTTAATACAGGTAATTAGTAGAAGGATATTGAAGTTTTAATTGAGTTTTCTTCTAAGCTCTCCCTCTCTCCTTTCCAGAATCTCCCCTTCCTAAATGACTTAGGGCAGGAACATACCACTGTGGGGTTTTGTTTTGTTCATACATGGGCACCGTATTCAAAATTCTTTTCATCTGTAGAAAGCATATGAGGTATTTTTCTTATATTAGCCATAATGATAATAGCTTGTTAGAAAAAATTTTTAATGTCTATTATTTTTTTTAGTATTTTAAAAGGAATGCCAACAACAGTTTAATTAACTTTAAATGATAAAAGTACAGATACTGGTCCAGAGATTGGTTTGGTAAGTCGACATAAATGTTGGTATTCTTGAGAACTGACCCTGCAACAACTCTTAGTCCAGCCTTCTAGTACCATTCCTCTCAGCTTTGCTTACAGAAGTTTCATGAAAGAAACCAGTGTTGAGAAACCAGAGAATACAGACATTGCCTAGAATTGGTCATTTAGCCAGAAATTTGGGGATAGTTCTGGGATTTTGAGACTCATCTTTAAAATCCTAGAGATCACATGCCTTTACTGTGAGCAGAGTCACTCCCCAAAATTGAGCCGTCCTGGGGTAGTTATAAAGCATTGTGCATGCCAGTGACAATTTGTCAATTTTTTAAAATTGTGACTTTATTTCTTCTCTTCTTCCAAATGCAGTTACTTCTTGAGTGCAGCCCCGATCAGCCAGGGACTCAGTACAGGCCCTGTTGCCCTCAATTTACTCGTTTTTCTGTGGGGTTAAATACAGTCCCTGAACCTCTTGAAGCAAATCAGAAATTTTTCCTGCAATTTTAAGTTCATTGTACTCCAGTATCTTCTCACCTCAGTAGGAAACACTGTGTACATTAGGGGCTCAAAATTGATTTTCAGATATATCTGACTTAGTTTATTTATTATTTAGTCTCTTCAATACACAAAAGTAGGTTTATAGTTGTTTGTATGGAAAATAATATAATAATAAATAAGAATGTAAGAATAAACTATTTTGCATACTCACAACTGTAAACCTACTTTTACCGCACCCTGTGTTTCTCCAAATGATTCAGTTCACAAAGTAAATACCAGAGATTTTGCCTTTCATTTTGTTTTCTTTTTCTTTTTTTTTTTTTGTCTCATTTTTTTTTTTCTTAGAGATACATCTTTTCTAGGATGGGGCCAGTGTTCCACTAATCTGATTTTATTTAAAATTTTAATTTTATTTTTAAGCATAGGTTTATGTCACTGATTTATCCATTAGTAGGAAAAGGGGATTATACATACTTACAAATGATGATTTCTCTTCAGGTATTTCAATACCTAGGTCCAAAATACAATGAAATATAGTCAGTGTTGTGCTCTTCATTGCTTTTTCATGTGTGAGAAAACTCTTCCAACAATTCTTCCTACCCCAGGGGTGCTATAGATTGCTTGCTCTGTCAGTACTTGCCTCCATCTCTTTTGTCCAGCACTGTATGCCTCCTTGTCCTTTTCTTTTCTTTTCTTTTTTTTTTTTTGAGAGTGCTGGTAGAATTTCACCTAGCATTTCAAATGTAGATGATGCATTGTCTGGAAAAGTTGGCTTTGAAAAAAGTAGTTTGAATCTAAGTGAATTATCACCTAGGCTATGTGTGCAGCAGCAACTCGATACTGTGGGAAAACTACACGCCACCTTTGGAGATGGTGGAAGAAGAAAAATTCTGCTATATAGATTCTTTGGCTGTGAAATACAGAGCTTCTTAAACATTTGTCTAATGTTCTTTCCAAATTCGTAGTATATACCTCATCTTGCAAGACTGATGTCAAAGCAAAATTTATAAGAGAAACTTTACT